GCAACCACCTCACGAACCATGTTCTGTCACCCAGTCTCTCGAACCACGATCATGGTGTCTCACGATTTTTTTCTAATTTACGAGTTTGCAAAGGTTTCGGGGTGGAAAACTAGTAGTGTGGATAGCAGCGACGCGTAGGTGTTCCGAAGCATTCTATGCCTGGAGCAAACAGTGATTGCGACAGGGAGTCTCCGCCATCGTCAAGCTGTGCAACCCTTGGGATGCTCACCCAAGGGTTCAAGGGTGTCGGTTATCTCACCCGTGAACCTTACACTTGTTACACGTGTCGTGGTTTTATCTTTGTTGGATGATTCTAATTTTTTTAGTGCCTCTTATTTGTCGTATATTGTCTTTGATGCTACTAGCTTTTAGTGAAGTACTGCTCTGGAGATAAATAATAAATAATAATAAACTTATATATATATATATATATATATATATATATATATATATATATATATATATATATATATATATATATATATATATATATATATAAGCACAGTTAGGTACGTACCTCAAGAAGTCATTGTTGATATACTGTTAAATTAATAAAATAAATTTTTTTCTCACAAAATATTAGTTGGAGAGTGGCATTTATCAATCAATATTTTTTTATTTATCATATTATTTACTTTTGGTAATATTGATCCATGTAGGTTGCATGCAATGTCGCGATGAAGTCCATGAATACCACAAGAACTCATTCACGAGGGCCGCTCATATCAACATTACAGAATATGCTAATCAGAATGAAGCACAAAAAAATGGGTGCAATTTTTTGAAAGTTTATTCTTGACAGCTCGGCTTGTGAACCACAAAAGGATTTTTTTTTTTTTTTGGTTGCAATGAGACACATAGGAGTTGCCAAAGGAGAACAGATAAATTCTTGATCAAGATCCAGCGGGATTTACTCGTGCTGACTCACCAACGAAGACAACCTGGTATCGCGCAAGCACCAAGGCGGGACTTCAGAGAAAATAAGTACACATATGCAAAGTCATTGGAACAACGACTACCTATATATTCAGCTTGATGCATACCAGTCGGTGGTTTCCGGTCCAATCGCAATTCCAATTGAAGTTCATCAGATCTGTAGGAATTATTATTTCCTTTTCCTCGCACTTTCATTCTAACTTTCTCTACAAAATCAGCAGATAATTGAGATAGTTATCTTCTGATATTTTATTTCCCAAGAGCTATATATATAAATATATATATATATATATTCATTATAGCGTTGGACTTTGTAGGATGTCAGTCGCAGTTGTTCTAGAAATAAAATGTAAATAGACAAAAAAACTTTTAAAAGCAAAGGAAGATGCATTGAACTTACCAGTCTCTGCGTCAATTCCCAGATTAATTTCTCTCTTTGGCGTGCAAAGTATTTCAAGGACTGCAAAGGAAAAAATTATAGAAAGTAAGAAACAAAGTCATGAAATATTACAGGATACAGATGAAAACGAATCTATAAGTAAATGCTAGTTATTACTCCTCGACGCTGTATCTCAATAGATCTTTGTAGTGCCTCTCTTTTCGACAGTAGGTTGTTCGATGGCTTTAGTGGACGAGCATAATTCTTCCCACGGTAGATAATTATTGCATGACTTGTCCTTAATTTCTCCACTGCAACCAGTATCCCACCACTCTCAACTTCAAGTAACCTTGCAGTACAAGTAATGTGGTGAAATGCCTTCTGCTTGGTAAGCACTTTCACAACTTCTCTATGTTTCCAATGCTGGTGAATACTTCCGAAAACACCATCATAAATTCCACGCCTACCTGCAGACGCCAAGATCTTATTACTCTTGATCCAAAGTATCATCTTAAAAAGTACGGTCACATACCATAGAGAAATTGAAGACAGAAAACTTCTATCTATACCATTGCAGAATGAATTTGCCAGAGTGGGAAAGGGTACAATTTTAGTAAAAGATGATATTAAGTTAGTTGTGATGGTTCATACCCAGCAATATGATTTCGTTCATTTCCAAGCCAACTTTTCGAAAAGCTTGCCTCTCCTCTTCTGTCAATATTTCCAGGTCTGCAGTTTGCTCCGAAGGGCAACATGACAGACTAAGCTTGCTCAACAGTTCCTCTGATCTCTCTATCTTCTGCTTAAGCTGGTGCATATTCAAACAAAATGTTCATTAATATATCAGTTAAGCTTCATTAATACAACAAACTTGATGTCAGAATTTGATCATACAATGAAAAGCTTGTGCTCGTGCTCTCTTAGTTCCTTCTTCAACTTTTCCCTTTCAGCTTCAATTCGAATTTGGCCTCTATAACTCAGGTTGTTTAGGGAAATATGATTTGCCTGTATTTCCTGAAATTCCATATAAGTTCCAACAATGCTGAAGCTGGGCAGTATGTTATCCATAGCACGTAATGAGTTTGTGAACCCCGTTCGCGCTTTTTCTTCCTCAAGCTGTTGCTCATTGAGCTCTGCTTCTCTCTCATCAATCAGATTAGTCACTCCACCAGGGAGAAAATCTTTGCCTCTATACAGAATGATAAAGAACTTGTTTCTTAATATCAGAACACCACCCGTGAGACGCTGCATTTAGAGCTTCAGAATCAAGCACATGAAGCTTCAGAGCAACTATTATCTATCAAGATAGATCCCTAAACACCCTCATCAATTACCTTCAAATTGAAGGAAACAAGAAAGCAAATGAGTTCCAGATAGGAACCATCCGGTAACCTCAGTCATAAATCCCACTACTATATCCAATGCATGCTGAACTTTATGAGGGAAAAAGAAAAAGGCAATCAAGTTCCAGAACAACCATTTTCCTCATCTACATGTATTACAACCTAGCACTGAGTTTCTGATGCAGTTGTGTCTTTGATCAGATCTAGCTATCTGTAACAATTTCCTAGAATATTATGATAAGTTGAAGTTCCTGTTATAAAATTTTAGCACCAACCTTATTCACTTGAAGAGAAATGATACACAGAAAACAAAGTCCTTGAAGATTTAGAACTCTTTAACATATAGTAAACTGATGTGCTCAAGAAACAGGTTAGGAGCAACATTTAAATGAGCGACCAAAGTTGGTAAGATATCCTAAAGAGAACATTGCCTGCTAACAGGGAAAAATGTGTCCCACAGTACCTTGTCCATTAATAAACTATAGATGATATATTCAATTCGGATAATTTATTATCACTCCAATTGTAAGGTGTTGTGAAGAAAATTTCTCAGGCAGACACAAGAAAAGCCACTATTCTCATTATTGAAAAGGCCAAAAGTCTCACTTATACACGTTTTTTTCACTTGTTTTAAACAGTGAAATATCTTCTTTTGGTTTGAAAGCCACCTTATACCAGTATATGCATTGGGATTTTTCCAAGTTGTATTTATTAGAAATAAATAATGAAAATTGCAGTCTACCATCAAAACACTCAATCACATACTATAAAGCAAAATTTTACATTTTTCGAATTCCAGTTTCAAGCATGTATTTTTATTTTAGTTTTTATTTGATTGGTAAATATGTAATTACAACATTAATATACTTGCCTTGAGCTCCAATGACATTTGCTCATTGTTGGTATTTTGAATTCCCACTTTGACTGCAATTTTGGCTATAAGGCTCTTCTCCCAAAGCTTTCTAATTGAAGCAGCCAAGCCTTGAAGTTTTCTATTTCTACCTTCCAACAGAAGACAAGCACAATGTTACATTTAAAACTCTAATATCTCTGCATCTTTATGGATATATCTTTGTCACTAAACATGTATCTATACACATAAAGCCAGATATTGTCATATATTTACAAAAAAAACACTTGTCAGAAGAAAACAGCAACTAAGAGCAAAAATGATGGTAATAACATACATAATTAAAATCTAATATAAGGAAAAAGCTCACTGCATATGGCAGTAATTACCAAGAGCAAAATGAGTGGGCAAAGGGCGTGCAAGCTTCCGTAGATACATCAATTCATCATCCGTCAGCTTTGGTCTTACTCCAGGAGGGCACATTCTTAATGGAGGCCGAAAACCAGGAACAACTTCTGGAAGTAGGTCTGCATCTACAGGTAGTGGCTTTTGCCACCACCAGTCAACAAAACGGGGACCTAAACCATCCAACAATCTGTCAGCTTCTCTCTCATATAGAGATCCTTCAATTGAAATATCACCCATTTGAATTCCAGACTCCATAATCTGTACTTCCCCATCCATCTTTACAACTGATCCTGAAACAATAGCACTGTCCTCTTCAAATATGCCAGGGTTCACTTTATTGACAGCATTAGGCGAACTAGGAGCATTTCGAAACATTTCATATTTTTGTCCTCTATAGACAACAAGAAAATCTCTCTTGCACCAAACGACCAAGCCTCCAGTCTTTGTCTGCTAATTTGTGGAGAAAAAAAAGTTCAAAACATTCATAGCAGCCAATAAAAAAAGATAAACAAGATAGAAAATGCTATGCTTCACTTTGGTTGTCTAGTTGACACATAACTAAAATGCAAAGAGACTATCTATATTTAACCCAAAAAGTTCATAAGCTGCATATTAGGAAACTTGATTGATAAAACAATCTTAAATAAATATTACCAGGAATGTAGATTAATAAAAAAGGTTGGAAGCATTCAGATTCTATCTTATTTGTGAGAAAGACATTCACCAGCAAACTCCAGCTTAACACTCAACATATAAATTCTTGGAAAGAATGAATATGAAAATAATGATAATGAAGGTGAAACACAAAGAAAAGAGAAATAAGATACAATGCTCAGAAAAGTGAAGACATTATTACTTGAAAATTGAATTATGCATGGATAACTTAGTGATCCAGTTAATTTGCACAATAACTTATGAAGACAAACCTTATCTACTTGATCCAAAATTCTTAAGCCCAATCATAAATAAAAAATGACTACATCGACATATGTAACATCCAGCATCCCATTACTTCCCATTGTGACTCCTTATTCAAATTCCTGACTTTCTCATCAGTGCATGATTGCATATAGCCCAAAAACATTCTCCAAGTCTAATGTGGAAATAATCCTATGAAGAATCATAATAACACGCACAAGATAACTTGCATCTTGTCATATGACAGACCATGCAGAGAGCACAAAAAGGACCTCTAATACCATTTGCCGCAACCTTAATCAAAAAGCCATAGCAAAAATGCTTTTAATAGTCAAGCTTATGTCATTAGTGGTCAGTCACTAATTACATAATGCAAATCTGACCTCTCATTATCTCCTGATATTAGACTATGGGACGTACCAAATGGTCAACCTAGTTAATAGGCCAGAAGGTTTGTAAAACACAGGACAAACTACAAAGTAGAAGAAATATGCAAATTATGAGGGACTAAGGTAACAAGAGTCGACACAGCACAAGCTTATTAGGAGTATACTCTTCTTATTAAAGAAGCAAGAGAATAAGCAATGCTAATGAATTTATACGTCCAAGAAAGGTCTTGCAAATTTAACAACAAACATGAAATTTTGAACTTTACTCCCAAATTCGTAAAGAAATGAATAAACACACAAAAAAAGTAAGCGAATAAAGTATAAAAGGAAGATGACAACAGTAGATCTACTACCTAAAGGTTCATCAGATACTTATCACACGCAAGATTCAATACTTGACTACTAGAATGCTACTAAATAATCAAGAAACCTAAAATAACATAATAACAAGATTAAGAGTGTAAGATCAGATGTACAGCAATCTAAGTGACATCTACTAGCCAAAATTGAACAGACTTCATCAGTTTCACACAAAAGTCAGCTAAAACTGACAGCAAATTTCCAGTCAAAATAAACATAGGTAGAAGACGAACTTCCAAATAAAATATAGAAGATAAGTTATTAAAATTAATAGCTCACTCAATTATTAGCAAGTCTTCAGTCTTCTAGATTTCGAAAATTGAAATACAGAGGATCAAAACACTTTGATTCAGGGAGCTGAACTAATCTTAGGTCTTTAATAAGCCAAAACGCATTCAAAGGAAATCCCAAAATTAATTAAGATAGTAGAAATAAATGCTTTTTATCAGGGTTTGGGGTCCAACAAAAGTTGACCATCAACGCCCAATGGCTCCTGCTTTAGAAGTCAGTCCAAAATCGGTCTTCACTATTTCATGTTTTTCAGCCATAAATCTTGTAGAAAAACTTGGCTTATCATTTTCCTTGAATTTCAAAATATGGTGCAGGAAAATCAAATTTTCTTCTCTCTCAAGTTGCCTTGGCTTTGCAAATTAGAAATGTGAACCAAATCTTGTGCAATTTTCCTAGATTTTTCAAGGAACATAGTAGAAATGCTCCATTATTTTACTTAAAAGGACAGGAGAATCATTTCACGGTCAGCTTGGAAGTAGAACTGTCTGACCTCCTGATGAGTCAGATACCAAGAGAAATTCTTCAAATTTTCAACCTCTTTTCTTCTCATGTTTTCCAACCTAAAAGGAAGTTCAATCCAATTTTCACCGTCTTTCTATTCTTGCCCTTTTTCTCTACCCACTTTCTCTCTTCCTCCATGGTTGTTGAAATTTCCTAGTGCTGTTAAGGGCCTTTTTGTTCTCCTAGTGCTGTTAAGAGCCTTTTTGTTCTCACTTTTGCTTTCTTACTCAGCTGCTGAAGGTTTCATGGCTTCTCTTGTTGAAGATTGACTGCCACCCCCACTTAGAGGGGGAAAAAGAAGAAAAAAACAAGTGAAATCCTTTTATTCTTCAGTCCTTGTATTTAATATCCTACACCTGATATCTGGGCTTTTAATCCTAATGATGTATCTTTTATCAAAGAAGATGAAGCTAATCCTAATGATGTATCTTTTATCAAAGAAGATGAAGCTAATCCAATTACTTGCTTCAATTTGCCCCTATAACTAAATTTCAAAAGAGTAACCTTTTGGGTCAATTGAAGGGCTGTTAGGTATCAGTACTCTGTAACTTTGGTATTTCCTTGGCAAAGTTCAATAGTTTATTCATAATCTATCTTCTGGCCTAAATTTGATTTCTTTATTATCCACTGGATAACATCCAAATAGACTATTTAACTTGTGTTAATTTTTTATTGAAAAGTACAGTTGAACTTCAGTTTGTTTTTCTATCAGCTGATACCTTGAAGTAAATAAAATAAAAACAACCATTATAATTATTCAGGGGAATCAAAAAGATAAAAATAGGCACCACAAAGTTGTCTCTGTATTTCTCTCAACAAAACTTCCAATCTTTTGGGTGAATACAGGTCCTCTAAGATTCAAAGATAAGAACAGAACTTTGATTGGTGACCTTTCCTTCCCTATTTAAACTCCTGATCAACCTAGCCTTCAAATGTCCACAAATATTTTGCAAAATGCAATAAACAAATGAAAAAAACAACTAAACATGATAGAATTCACACCATGAATATTGGCTTTTACAGGCTTAACCAATGCTAGGCCTAAGCAAATCCAAAATATATACTAGATTGCGTATTTCATGTGCTTCTAATTTTTCAGTTGCATACTGTGAAGAATCTATACAAATGTAACTTACATGGGAGGGACAATGGGTAAAGACCAAAGGAATAGCAAATCACAAAACATAACCTACGTTGAGACATGGATTTCTAGATTGGATAATCTTGATTTCTAGATTGAGACATAGATGTCTCTGTTGAGACATCCGGGTTGGTTAGTGTATTGTTGCACGAGTGATAGGTCTTAGATTTGAGTTCATGTGTGAGCGTCATGTATGCTATTTAATATAATCTTCCAATTTTTCAAAAAAAAGATTGGGCAATGCCTGTCTCTAGTTTTGCTAGTATATTAGCAACACTAGTGGCCAGTCCATTCACTAGAAATTTACCAAAATTAGTTGGAAATTGATCCGTGCAACATCCTATCCAATAAGAAGATGTACATGTGGAAGAAGATACACAGTAGGAGAAAGTTCAACCAAATCCCATTCTCAATTGGCTAAATAAATTGCCCCGGCAAGGGGAAGGAAAATACTACTCTCACTAGAAATCGTGACCAAGAGTCATGAGACATCTTCTTAAAACAACATATAAAATATGTCTTCATATTACACCAGCAATGATTTTATATTAACAAATATTTTTACATAACTTATTTTAAAAAAATTAAGAATGCTTACATGACACATTTTATTAGTATTTTCACATACATGGAATTTTTATTTTATTCATAATTATGTTTAGGTTATTATTGTCACTTGTAATTTTAATTGATTGGGATTTATTGATCCAATATAGGCATTTTCACAAACTGAATTGGAGATCATAAGATATGACCAATTCTAAATTTGTGAATACTACTCCCAAAAACCTACCACAAAATACACCATCTAAGGTTTAGAGTATGGGCCACTCTATAATAAATCAAAGGCAATATAAGGCATCGAAATTATACATCAAGAAATGTTTGTATTCTGTGCCTTGAATGTATCTCATCTTTTCCTTTTAGTTCAAATCAAAATAGATCCCATGGAAACTGATGTGAGGCTCATATGTTATCAGTGTCTCCAGAAATTTTGCTATAAAATATTAACTAAAACTAAAGAAGGATTATCCTGAATGCCCGAGTAAGAAGTTTCCTTATGAAATTTGAGCTACAAAGATTATCATTAAGATTTGAGGATAACGATTCAAAGGCCAAAGAGTTTCTATGCAAGAAATTTCAAAGGCATCAAAGATCCAAAAGACAGGTAGAAAGCAGCAAAGCATGGTGGAAGTCTTTACACACACATTTTCTGATCATGGTGCATCATCGATGAAAAAGAATGTTCATAGAGCTCAAGATACATTCTTTATTTCTTATTAGCTTGTGCTTAATCTTATTGATAGTAGAAAGAAAATTATGAGACTCCATAGAGTTAAAAAAAAAGTCATTCAACAGCCATTCTGCACAAGCAAAAACAATCTTCAAACAAGTATTCACAATAGCTTTTCTTATTAGTCTATCTCAATGTTTAGTGATGTAGTCCCTTCCAAAGCATCCAGAGAAAATCTAAACAATCTTCACAAAAAGGGTTCTTTGGTGAAAATAAATACAAACTTGGAAGGCATCTACTTCGATATTTATGCTGCTTACACAAGCAACCGTGCAGTTATCTCACTTCAAAGTGTTAAATATGAAATAAAACAAATAATTGCAACAGTTTCTTTTTGTTTTCTCTTCTCCATCGGTTGTCAGCTCTTCAAAGTGTTAAATGTGAACTAATCCTTCATGCCACAAATGTACCAAATGAGAAAAGATAAAAAGAAAAAGTTATGAGAACTGGATTGGAACATAATTGCACCAGTTACCTCAACGATCTCTCGAGCTCTGTCCATGTTGCGCCGCAGTGGCTCGACGATCCTAACCATCACGAGCTCATTCTCCTTCCAACCCCTCCGAATCTCCTCCATCACCCCCTGCGTCACGCCTGCTTTCTTGGCCTTCACCCACCTCGTCATCCGCCTCGCCTCGCCCCGCAGCCGGAACAGCAATTCAGGAGCAAGTACCGATTCCGCCGATGTGACCACCTTCACCTTCTTCTCCCTCCCAAACACCAGTTTCTCCTCCGCCGTGACCCACGGCGCCCTCTGGCCACGGCCACCTTTGGCCGGCCTGAGTGGGACACCGAATTCCGCCGCTTGCCCAGCATCGGCGAAGGCAGCAGCGGGAGTTTCCTCATCTGGCTCGGCGGAGTGTACCTGGCGGAGGTTTTTGATGTTCCTGATAATCCCGAGCATGGCGTGGCGGCTCCGGCCACCCCGGACCTTGTCGGTGAGGGGTCGGTCGGCAGGGCCGGGAACCTTCTTCTTGTTCCTGGTGCTTCTGCTAGGGTTCGAAAGGTCGAGGACTTGGTCGGAAGGGAGGAGGAAGGGGGATGTCATCCAGGGGGCGGTGGGCATCTTGAGCGATTCAGCGTTGTCTGGGAGCAGCCATGGGGCCGCCGGCGGCGGCGGCGGAGAGGAGGGAATCTTCTTCTCGTGGGATAGGGTAGAGATGTGGTGGGGTGGTTGTAGTTGGAACGGGGGAAGCTTGAGAGGAGGTCGCAGAGGATGGTTGGGACGGGGAAGGGAGCAGCGAAGAGAGCTCGACGCGATGGAAGAGGAGAAGCAGGATGAGGACAAGGGCAGGGCGGAAGGAGGAGGCATTAGCTGCGGAGAAATGGAGGAGCGAAGAGGTTGGAGTCGTCCTTGGGGATATGTCGGCGACGGTGGTGGTGGTGGTGGTGGTGGTGGTGAGGACAACATAGCAAAACATTCGACACCGCTGAATCACCGTTGAAAACTTTTCGAGTGACGGAGATAGTGGATGCGAGGACAACGAATAGGATAAGCTGTGGAAAGTGACATCAACCGTGGCGGTGTCACGGGTGACTCGGTCGGGAGGAAGGCAGCGTTCATGCCTGTGACGGGCCGGCCCACAGCACCCATGTGAAGTTTTCCACTAGAAGGTTAGCTTAGGGGAGTAGCCTTATTTTCATTCTTAATATACTGAAGAATTACTAGGATAACATTAGAGCTGGCTACTTTTATTGTCATAAAATTTTATCTTATTATCATAAAATTAATTTGAAAAAACTTATGATAAAAGTTCTTGAAATGTTGTCCACAAGACTTACCATAACACATTTCAAGAAATTGTATGTCCACAAGACTTGCAATTTCTTGAAATGTGAATTGAATCATGTGTGTTAGTTAACTCTCTAGTTTCTAATGTTGCACCAACAACTTCACGTGGAGGTGACTATGTGGATCTATTTTTTCTTTATCTCCTAATGCTAATTTTACAAGTTTCTTTCTTCTCTTTTGCATCAGTATATTATTTTCACATAATGTGAAAAAGAATTTTCACATTATATTATTTCACGATATGCTTATCACTATTAGTAAAAATGATAGATCATGTACCCACCCATCTTTCTGGAATCTTAAATTTATTTAGAGATTTAATTGGGTCTAAAGTTAATAAATCTAAAATTGAAATATTTTTTCCTAAGAATTGCTTTCTTCATCCCAAACATCACACTCGTAGTACATTGGGCTCAGACAAGAGTATTGGCCTGTTCTTTATATTGAGACTTTTGTCATTCATCATTTCTTATCTATCAAGCTTCAAGGTTCAATCATAGATAATATCCATAATCGTCCAAAAATGAAACAAAAGATTCCTATGTCAAGTTGATAAACCAATAGTTGTATTATGGAAAAGATCACCAGTAGAATTTCTAGGATCACCGAGAGCTAATCTTGGGATGACACCAAATAGCACAAAATAAAAAAAAATTAAACTCATAAGTTTGAGATGATATTATTATAGCGTCGGTCGTGAAGATCTTGGGATCGCAGACATTTGCGACACTATAGGATTAAAAAGGTTCTTTTCGTTTTGAATGGATATAATAAAAAATATATCAATATCTTAATTTATTAACTATGATTATACATTATATTGAATGAATTATATGTTGGGAAACCTAATATCCACATATCATCTCCTCCCACAGAGTAGAAAATAAAAATAAAATTAGATTTCTTAAAATTAAGTACTTGACGATTGATGCATGAGAAAAATCACATATATATATATATATATATATATATATATATATATATATATATATATATATATATATATATATATATATATATACGAGAAGTGTTACATAGAGAGATCATATATCTCTGAAATTTTTAGATTCGATAGATGATGAATGAGAACTCATGTACTCCTCTCTGGCAAAGATCTACACGGTAGACATGACGATTACACTCAAATCGTTGCAAGATCTCACTCTCTATGAGCACCACAAGGCTACTAGAGTAAGGAGGAGGAGAGGAGGCTGAGGAGAATATGAGAGGCAATCACCAAAAGCTCTAGCTATGAACCTTGAAGTTTCTCCTATTTATAGAGATGCATACAACTTAACACTTAATGGATCTTATCCTTATTGGGTATTAGATCTATATTCAATTACCTAATCTAATTGAATCTCATCTATAGGATCCAAAATAAGAGTGTCATGAATATCTCATATCCACACATCTACTCATTGCAATATCTACCATATGTGTGTGACTCTCTAGGCCCGATACCGAGCTGGCCGTGAGTCGCTCTTATCAAAACTCCTTATGACTTAGAACTTCTTTTGATATAGTGAATTATTATCTCCATTCACTTGACTCATCGACTATAGACATATCATGCCACTATGCTAGAACCCCTAAACGGTACAAGGGATCTAATCCATCAAACATGTTTATCTATAGTTACTGTGTATCTATAGTCCCTCATCCATCTAATATCCCAAAGACCATGTATCGAGTATGGTAACGTCAAGCCCATGCGGAATCTTGTCCGAGTCTCGTTCTACTTGGATTCTCTCGGAGAACTTCTTCTCTCTTAATCCGAATGACCATGGCTAGAGATTTTATCTGAGCGAGCACACACGAGATACTCCTCTTACGATGTTGAGAGTAGATGATTCTTTGTTAACACTCAATTGCCTTCGTAAGGTTGGCTGTCATTACCGATAACTCATTATACTAGATTTGAAACTTCCAAACCTATAAGTCTAGCATCAAATAATGAAATACTCATATAAGACATTCTTGGTGTCTAAAGTTTAATGATTGAATGCACGACTATGACTACAGAATCGTTGTTTAACGTACAGTATCATTAACCATCCAGCATTCTGTAAGCGGATCAATCAATGAATTCATTCTCCAATAAGCACATGCAGTACATATCTAGTGTCCCCACACGAGTGGCTATGAGACAAACTGCCTCCATCATATGGACGAGCATACAATGCATCGATCTATCCAATTATCTCGATGTCCATCTCGAGTAACCTATGATCAGAATGATTTAGGATTTGTGTTTAAAAATGAATCGGTCTCATTAGGATAAAAAAAGATTTTTTTTTAATAAATATAATAAAAAAAATATATTAATATTTTAATTTACTAAGTATGATTATACACGTCTTTAGATCATTTTTCGCATTAGGGATTCTAAGACTTGAAAAACGTTGTGCTGAAAGAAAGAATGATACAAGTAACAATATCAATGTTTGGAATGATCCCTAGATGAATAACATACTTATTAATAAATAATTATTTTTAATAAAATATTTAATTTAATTTATCATGATGTTCGGATGTGAAGATAAAGAGTCCTTTATCAACCTTTGCAAGGTGAGCATCATGGCGACAGCGAAGGATGGTCTCATATCATTAACCTAAGGTTAAACAAAAGTTCAAACATTTATTGTGAAAATTGTTGTGGAAGTGGCGATTACATTCTTTGAATGATTCTTGGAACTGTAGGATATAGCAAGGATCTTAATGCGACTTTCGGTGTCTTTGGACGACTAGGGTAATGGAGCTTGGCTGGAACAAAGATCTCAATGTTGCAAATTGTCGCTGATAAGGGATATTTTGGTCCCCGGATGAATCATCATTGATGTCACATGCCACACCCCAACCGATGTCAGAAACCGACGCCACATGTCATCAGAACCCCATGGTGCACGTCACGTCGGGTTCCGAACTGATACACTATGCAACATGACCATCTCGAGAGCTCGGGGCGATGCCATCTTACGTCGCTCAGCATCCCCAAAAGACGTCAACTCGTCAGAGAAGTTGTTCCATCCCATAAAGGTCAGCGGCCATACCGAACCGAGGCACAACCAGTCCTCGCGCGATAGTATAAAAACCCATGGCCGACACCCAGCCAAAGGGGGGGGTGAGAAAAATAAGATCGAGACAAGTAACACTTGACTAACTTGCTCGTCGGTGGGGCCAAAGTCGGGGAGCACTCGACGAAGGCCATTTTTGTAGGAAGGCGGTCACCCCCGAGCGGCAAGCGTCTCAACCCGGGAATCACCATCCAGTGCACGAGGATGCTCTGCCATACACCCCGAAGTCAGAGGGACGTGACCCATCACAAACGACACCCGGGTCGATAGACCGAGGAACGCTGACTAACATCCCCTCACGAGGGCCCCGTCCGCCCTGTTTGCCCGACCAACGCCAACTAGCATTCCTTTCGGAGGGCGCGGCCACCTCATCATCCTACCCACTCCACGAGAAGCTCCTAACATCGGCCCGCAGACCGAACTGTGCTAACTCACCAGCCATGGTACTTTTGTTCATTAACATTTTGGCACTAGAAGGAGGGCCATGTCGCAGGAGTATCCTGCGAGAGCTCTCCCCAAGGGAGAACCACCGGCCAGTCACCCTTTTGTCGGGCCCGGAGATCAGCCCCTCCCCGTCCTTCGAGATGGGGGGATCCCGACCTCGACGCCAGATCGCTACTAGCGCCCGTTTAACGACCCAGGGTTACCACCTCCCGGACTTAACGCGGGACCCTCGGTCGTGTCGCCCGAGGCATTCCTCAGCCTAACCAAGCAATTACAAGCGATGGTAGGGATGATGCAGATGCTCGTCCCACTCATTCCCCAAATCGTGCAGCTAGCAGCTCCCTTGATCGACCCGACCTGGCAAAGGCCGAGCAGGGAGCAAGTCGGGACGGGAGAAGTCCAAGACCAAACGATGGACCCGAGAGGTCCGCCCGAGCAGAGCATACCCGCACCCTGCCGAATCACACCGCCCCGCTCTGAGCCCGACACCATATCATCCGACTCGACGGAGGACTCGTTCAGGATCTAACTGTCCGGGGTCAACTAACGCCTGGATGAGTTCCAGCGTGAGTTATAGAAATCGCGATGCGAGTCGAACGAAGGCGGCTCGGGCAGATCCTCTTTCACTCAGGAAATACAGGACAAGCCTGTACCACTCGACTTCAGGCTGCCCACATTGGAGACGCACGATGGTGGCTCTGACCCCACGAAGCATGTCGCCGTGTTTCGGGCTCAAATGGCCCTCTATGGCACCTCCGATGCACTGATATGTCGGGTATTCCCGACCACCTTCAGGGGGCTGGCACAAGCGTGGTTCAGCCGGTTATGCCAGTCCTCAGTCTCATCCTTCGACCAGCTTGCAAAGGAGTTCGAGCAAAACTTCCTCGCTAGTTGATAGGGTATATTTTGGCCCTATATGAACCACCGGCAAATGCTGCAAACCAACGCAACACCGTACGGATCCAGAACCACGGGGTGCATGCCACGTCAAGCTCCAACGGTGCGACTGTGCGGCCTGACCACCCCAAGGGCTAGGGGCGGTGTCGTCTGCTATTAGGGCAGTGTCGTCTGA